GAACATTAACATAATATGGATCACTGTGGGAATTGATCATTTGATACGCCATTAAACTTTGAAATGGTGCATTATAATCCATTGCAACCTTAAATGTAAGAAATCATATGTTAGTATTAAATAATTTAAGAATGCAAACTAAAATAATAAATTAAATTACAACCTCCGTTTGAGCATAATCAGTTCTTGAATCACTAAACTGATCATTCTTATCTGGGCCACCCACAAGTGCACCATATAAAACATGCTGGGTTTGAGGCGGATTATTCAAATTAGATACATCAGTTCCACCATGTGCACCAGCATGATGAGGATTCTGTGGTGAATTTGGATGAACACCAACAACATACGGCGTGTTCATGGGATTTTTACCAAGAGCATAATCAATCTGTGACAAAGCAAACTTTACATATGTTTGAGCCTTATCGGATGAAGAAGCAATCGGTGCATAAATTAAGCACAGGAAAGCAGCATCAAGAGATGGGTTTAAAGATGCAGAATTGCTGTCTCCGTCGCACCAATAAAGACCGCCATTGGTTAATGTACAACCACTAGTTTGCTTTACAACACCATCCAAATATCGTTCTGCCTCAGATTTCCATCTACTTGAATCCTGACCTGATTGTTGAAACAATTGTGCAAACAACACATAGCACCCACCAGATTTTTCATCCCAATTAAACACTTTCTTTGAACCACTCATTGAATTAATGTTGAAATAATTAACGGCTTTGTCAAGATAGCTAGTGTCATTTGTCGCTTTATATAACCAAAGGGCACCCCAGACCAATTCGTCAGAATAATTTGACGAAGCATATGCACTTTTAACTTGGGGAACCGAATTCTGATATAGCGTGAAAGGTGTCTGTTCGGCAAAAGAATATAAACTTTTTGCGTATGTTAAAAGTGTATTGGCGTATTCAGAATCATTAAACTGATTACGAAATAATAAAGACGACGCAGCCATTGCCGCAGCCGTCTCGCCTGAAACGTCGGTACCATGAGCAGAGGAGCTAACCTTTAGTGATGGACGTGAAGTAGGAATACTATAGGTAATGTAGATGACCAATTATTTAATGTTTTGATCATGATAATTTGAGGTAATCGAATATATATTATAAATACTTTGTATCAGGTCCCCAATAGCTAAGATCTGAATCAATGTCACCAATCATCACATATAAATATTGATCTATTGTATTGCTTATATTTGAACTTGTATTGCTCGTATTTGAACTAGCATTTATTAACCAATCAGTTCCCCATTTTACCATATCTCTCAAATATTGGGTCTGATTTGCTAATTCATAACCTTTACCCCACTCTAATGCACCCCAGGCAATAACTGTGATGGTCCATGATAGTGGAAAAGTAAACTTTACATAATCACCTAATAAATATAATATATACAATGTAATATTTTTAATAATATAATATACAATATAGAATTAAATTAATCAATTGACTAATTAACGAAATTACCTGCATCATAATAACCCTGATATAGTTATATTAAAATATATGAAAAAGATCAGTTTAACTATTAAATTGATTGGAAATGCATTTTTAAGTTTGTTTATTTGTCACCGCGATTTTCATTTTCTAAAATTAATGAAGTTTATATTGATACTATAATTACAGGTGTGACAAATAAACACTACGGCGTGACAAATAAGTGAAATCATTTCTAAAGGAACACGAACACTCATTGAAAAGCATAACGTAAATAGAAATTGACAATATAAAAACAAAGATACTCACTTTACTTAAATCGAGGCCGACATCTTGACCATCGCTTAACGCTGAATCATGCCTCCTGAAAAAATTATCCAACGTAAATGCTTTCTAAACAGTTAGGCAAAGGCGTCGTTGAAAGCAAGCTTACCATGATACCCTGTTATCTGCAGGTAGTTTTCCACTTCTCTCCGCTTCGTAAAAATATAAAGAATAGGCTAACAGCCTCGCATATTCTGAGTTAGGATAAGAATTGTTACTTAGTTCCTGTGGTATTCCAGGGATTTGTGGGGGTTTTAATGCATAATTTGTCTGAGCTCGAGTTAACGAAGTTAAAAGCAGTAGACTAGTGATTAAGAGGGTCAGCCAAGCTCCTCTTTGTTGGTCACGTGCATGAAATTTCATGTAGAATTATTTTAAAGATTGAGTTCTTAAATGACTAACAGGCATACTGGAGTATTTATTAATGGGCAGGAAATAATCAAGCTAAGACGTTTGAAAACTTGAAGCTAATTTTAGAAAGTAATTTAATTAATATTTATCATTAACTATTCCATATTTAGGTCATTATATATTAAATGATAATTTAAAATGGGGTCAGAACCTTATCGTAATGGTACCATACTGAGCTGGTGTTATATATAATTAGGGTTAGAGATAATCGTAATGGTAAATCGTGTAACCATCATATAAATTGTATAACTACGTACGTACGTACCAGTATACGTATCAATTCTGATAACATTAATCATATTAATAAAACAAATTCCAAGACATTTCATATGATCATGTGAATTTTTTTTTGTCGTCTGTCCAATAATGTAACACTTAACTATTCCATATTTAAGTAATGGTACATACTGCAGTCAGGGATTTTTCAAATTCGTGTAAAGTAGATCATTTCTCTTTTGGTAAAAGATCTTCAATTGGAAAATTCTTTTTTAATTCTATAGTACGAAATTTGCACCAATCATTGGCTGTGTTGTTATTTGGCACACAACCGCCTTTTAAAACCTAGACTACATATTCATAGAATAAATTTTGCAAAGGTTTTTTTAAACTAATTGTTATTTTTAGATAATAAAAAATGCTTTTTTTTAAATAGAAATCGGTTTTAGAATAACCTTTTTACTAAGCCGGATATATAATTAGGGTTAGAGACTATCTGTAGTTATGCAGATCGTGTAAATCGTGTAACCATCATAAATCGTATAACTACGATAATTATTATTAAGCATCGATCTATTTTGGGCAGCTTTCATTTTTTGTTTAGTGTTAATTTTTTTAAAGATAAATTTGTAGAAGTCGCTTCATTAATCATATCAATAAACCAAATTCGGAAGTAAAAAGATTCAGTATAATAGAAATAAATCTTGATTATTACGTATAGTTTAAATTAGTGTATGGATTCGTTGAAACAATCCTTCGGATTATCCAATGGATATCCAACTATTTTAATATGGTGGATATTTATTTGCTATCCGTTGGATAATCCGGAATTAACTCAAAACGATGACTGATAAGTTTAATTTAAAGCCTATTTTGATGCATCATGATGTAATCAAAAAAATAAATAAATTTAAATAGAAGGTTTGATCGATGTGTAATCAGTCTTTTACTTTATTGTTTTATAAAATTGTATCTAATAACAAGA